CAATGTATAACCTGTTAACTGTTACATTCTTTGGCATAGTTGCAGGGTGGGTAGTTTATCTGACATCTTCTCTTACTCTTATAAACTGCTTCTTGCCTATATGGACTTGGGCTACCTTTTTCTTTTATGCATATGCTTTGTGTGCCCATAGAAATTTCAGTTTTGTTGGCTTACCTTCCTTCGATTATTTTCTGTTTCTCTTTCTGTCTCTTTTTCTATTGCTTGATCACCATCTTATTTTAAATTTATATTTTTACCTTCTATTTGTTAGGCACAGTGCCTTGTATTGAAGATACTGTCTTTGGAGCAAGTGGGCTACCATCTTCAAGATCGTCAGTGATGGGGCAGATGGTAGAAGGAAAATGCCAAGTTTTGACTTCAGTAATTCCTTCAAGTACCCTACAACACAGGGTACTAAGAAGAAGCATATTGGGTCTGGTTTAATGATGTATAAATCAGTTTCCTTCAGTTATTTTTATTGTGGCTTATAAACATGGTACCTTTTGGGTCTTTTCAGTCACCTCTAGAGGAAAGCTGAATACTTGCCCATTCTATTGGATTTGAATTACATAAGGAACGTTGGGCCAGAGTGATTCTCTAAAATTATAAGCGTTCTAGAATGTTCAGTCAACTTACTTAGGATTGGATGTTGAAACATTCCATTTCCTTAATTTTTTAAATTTGATAATATTTAATATATGCAAAAATAATGTAGCTGTAGTGTTATCAAACACTATGTAGTAGTACTTACTCAACAAAAGAGTCCTAATTTGTAGCATTTGTCAATTCTGTGGTGCAAGTACTGCCATCTTAGCTGATTTTTAGCTCAATATGACATCACTGAATGTGGAATTGGGAAAAGATGTGCACAATTGACTCTTGTGAGCTCTCATGGACAGGCTCTGACACTAATGTAGTGTATATGTCATGAAGCATAACAGCAAGACCTGTGGGCATACCTACTCTGCTTATGAAGTAGAACAATACCAATATTATGGTGACCTTTCTGTTTCATCTTGTCAAAATTATTCAAAGATTTTACCTTTGATGTAATACTAGCAAATGCTTAATAGTACTTAATGTGTGCCAGGAACTATTTTCCATATTTTATTAAATCCTTTAATCCTTATAGTATCTCTGTGAAGTAATGTTGTCATCATCATTTCACAAATGAAATTGACATAGGAAGGTTAAGTAACTAAGGCCAAATAGCTAGGAAGTGGCAGAGCCAGGATTCTACCCCAGGCAGTCTGACTCCAGAATCTGTGCTCATAACAGGACACACACTGCCTTTTTTGATGATGTTTTAATTTATAATTACCTTTGCTTATACTGTATCCTAGGGACAAAAGGCTTATATTGGACTTTAAGGGCTATATATCCCTAGGACAAAATAAAGAGTACTGCCACTAATTACACATTCCAATTTAGGGGATTTTGAGAAATTTTGAAAGTCTGCTTTAGATAAGAGTTTGCTTGCAATCTTTGTTTTGTTTTTGCATACTTTACCCTTGTTTTGGGAGGTAGGGGGTAAGACAGTATTGACAGTGATTTCTTGAGAGTTTATTTTCTGCTGTTTGAATTTTTAGTTCTCTCTGACCTCCATTTTAGCAGCAAGTGGCAGTTCAGGAAGTGTTATTCCACATGAGTGAGTAGAAACAAAAAGATGTGGTAATAGGCATATTTTTGGTGATGTTATTAGATACATACAAAGTCAGTTGAACAAAGATTACTGCGAACTTGAAAAGGAAAAATGCATAAAAATTTTAGTGAAATGATAATAAAAAATGCTTTGTTATTAAAGTTTAAAAATAAAGAATTAACATCACTTTTAAGTACAAAAGAGCTTAGGCTCAAGCAGTACTAGAAAAGATTTTTGTGTATTTGTAATTAAATGTAGCCTTGCTTAGTTGCTATATTTTTGCTTCAGTAAAAGTACTATTTGTATTGTGAATTGCCAGAGAAATATTTTCACACAAATAAAAATTTTTAATTGGCAGACATTAAAGTATTTAAGAGACAAGAAACCATATGTTAATTGCCAGAGATGTATTTTCACACAAATAAAAATTTTAAATTGGCAGATGTTAAAGTATTTAGGAGAGAAGAAACCATAAGTTAGAAGGTAAACTGAGGCATAGTAAAATTTTAAATTATTTGAGCAAACAGCAATTCATGAATTGGGAACTCTATGGAGGGAACACAAGGCGAAGTCTTTTATAGATGAACATGGAAGTAAAGCAAAGAAAATATTTTATTGTTTATGGTTATACAGCGCCTTATTTGATCTGTCCTTCCGAGAAGTACCTGGTTATATAAGTTAGTTGGCAGCTTCTGACTGATTAGCTCTATGTTTCATTTTCTTTAATATAGGCTTTTAGAAGAAATAGCCCAAGTTGAGTTTCACTTATGTTTGCACATCAAGGGAGGTTAAAGTCACTCATGAGGCCTAATTGGCTTTGTCTACTCAGGGATTCTTCAGGCCTGGTCTCCATTTTAATTTACTTTAACATATAATCAAAGAAATGTAACTGGTTGAAGCTTTGAGGAGTTTTTCTGCCTAGGTACAGGATTTTATTCTGGACCTTCCATGTAGATAAGAATCTGCTCCTTTTGAAAATCTTCTGCTATATTATATCTTACAGCGTATTTTAGCAACACATTTCTAAGATTTAGCTATCACAAGCTGCTAATAAAGTCAAAGTTGATGTGACATAAGGGAACCTGGGTAGTCCTGTCATTTAACTAGCCTTTTAGTGTGCAAATTAACCTCTCAATCTTGTTTTATAAATAGAAAGGCTGGTACCTCTGGTACAGTGCTGTGGTGGGGAATAAATGACAGGACCTGGAACTTTATAAATACTTGGTATATTTTCTTCATATTGGTTATGGTCAAACAATGATAGAGCTGGAAAGGACTTGAGTAATCTCATCCCATCCTTTCATTTTGTAGGGGAGGAAAAGTCAACTCTGTAGCAGTGATCAGTGAGTGACTTTGAAGTCAGAAAACATGGTTTGTGCATCTGTGCCTTACTCTGTCTGAGCCTTTGTTTCCCGTTACATGCTTTTAAAATCTCTTTTCCAAGTAAATGACAGCTTCTAACTTTTATCCCACTTTTCTCCTCAATTGAACTAATATTTATACAGCAGTATGTGCTACACTATGCAAGGCACTGGGACCTTTTTAGTAGATGACCTTATTTTCTGCCCCTAGGAAAAATTGAGTCCCTGATTCATTCAACATCTGTTCCAGCCTCCTAATGTACCTTCCCATAATGCAAAGGCTAGATACAGAAAAACTACATTTCCCAGATCCATTGCAATGAGGCTTTTGGTTGTGCTTTAGATTCCACCAACTAGGTGCACTTGTGTAAGATTTGACATCAAGGTGGGTGAGAGAATCAGGTGTGTGAAGCATGTGTTTTACTGGTGTGAGTCTAGCACAGAGACTCAAATGTTAGCATGCATGAGAATCACCTGGAGGGCTTATTGAAACTCAGATTGCTAGGTCCCACCCCTAGAGTTCCCTATTCAATTAGTCTAGGGGAGGAGGGGATCCTGAAAGGTACACACAAGTCTCAGGTACACACTCTTTGATGACCCAGCAGCATGAGAGTCTTCCGGAAATTGGAGAAACATTCTCTCTTGCGTCTAAAAGGTTACAAGAGGATCTTTCCCTCTCAGAATTTATAATAAAGTTTTGCCATATGAGTGTTTTTAAACTTATTTCATACTCCAATTATGAAATTTATTTATACCCCAAGTATAGTTACTTGCCTGTATCATGATTTTTGACTCTACAATTAAAATAGCCCAGAACTTTATAAAAGTACTGCTGTGAAATTCTTCAAAGAAGGCAAATAATTAAAAGCATTAATTACAAACAAATATACCATCCACCTGGTTTTGTTTGGTGTTACAGGCTTTCGTTTAGATTGTTTGAGGAAGGGGGAGATTATGGTGACCACTGAGGGACAGAATTATAACAACAAACCGTAAAATATGCACTACCTCCAAAATGTTTAGGAATCTAAAATTATTTTTTTCTGTTTTAATTGGTAATCTTTTTCTTTATCTGATTAATTAGATGGTGGCTGGGGGGAAATCCTTGCCATTTTTATGCTACCCCTTAAATTTTGCCATATCCTTACAATATTTTTATTGTTTCATGAAATGTTATTAAATTTTCAAGCTTAGGGTTTCTTTATTGGCTTAACCTAAAAATGAACTTTAATTTGTGAAGTTGAAAAATATAGGTAATTGTCATTTCTTTGATCAGATTACATTGTCTCAAATTGGTTTCTGAGTTTTATTGATTTTGTAGTTCACCCTTTCAGTTTTCTTCTGAAATTATTCTGAGTCTAAATTTTTTTTCTTTTCAGTATCTATAACTAATGATCATTTTGGCAAATAAACTCATTCAGTCATTCAAAATATATTTATGGTGTGCTTACTAAGTGCCAGAAACTTTGCTTGGGCTCTGAGGAGATGATGGTGATCAGAAACATTCCTGCCCTCATGAAATCTGTAGGGAAAGTGGGAAAGAGACAGACTCTGAGCTATATGTTAGCAAAAGTATAGAATTTAGACTAGGAAAAGTATTTCAGACTTTAAGGAATTAAGTAGGCCAGGAAGAGAGCAATCCATTTTCTAGGCAGAGGGAACAGTGTGGACAAAGGCCCCGAACAGGAAAAGAGCTTGACAGGAATAGGTGACTGAAAGAAGGCCAGTGTTGTAGGAAAGAGGGTGAACTAGTAGGGGAAGGAGCTGGAGAAGAACAAGTGTGTCAAGAGTGAATTCTGCAGCTAATTAGGAACCATCGCAGCAGCCCAGCTGAGAGAAGCCGGGAGCCTGGACTGGGGTGGTGCCGGCAAAGACAGAGAAGCAGGCAATTTCGAGCCATATTTTTTTTCTTTTTAAAATTACATAATTTATTGGGTTGAAGTATGTTACAAAAGTTGCAGGGTGATTGATTGATTTTTGTATTTTTTTCCATTTAGGAATTATCCAGCCCACCTCTGCTACTACTGTAGATGAGCTCAGCAATTTGAACTGTCAGCAAGGGATTGTCCTTGGTTTTTGTGCTTTGCAGCATTCCCCAAGTTCTTTTCACATCTTCTCTTACTGTAAAAACTGCATTTAAGTTAAAAAAATGAAGCAGTTGAAAAGAAAGAGGAAAAGCAATTTTAGCGTTCAAGAAACTCAGACCCTTTTGAAAGAAATTACAAAGAGAAAAGAAGTCATTTTTTCCAAGCAGCTCAATACGACGATTAACGTGATGAAGCGAATGGCTTGGGAGGAGATCGCGCAGTGTGTGAATGCCGTGGGAGAAGGAGAACAGAGGACGGGGACGGAGGTGAAGAGAAGGTACCTGGACTGGCGGGCACTTATGAAGAGAAAGAGGATGAAAGCCAACATTAAGCTGGTTGGTTCGGGGTTTCCCCTTCCCACGTCCGACTTAGATGACTCCCTCACCGAAGAGATCGATGAAAAGATTGGATTCCGCAACGATGCAAATTTTGACTGGCAAAATGTGGCAGATTTCAGGGATGCAGGTGGATCCTTAACAGAGGTTAAAGTGGAAGAAGAAGAAAGGGATCCCCAGAGTCCTGAGGTAAGTATTAGCCTGCGGACCGTCTTTCTTAGTTTTTCAATTCTGATGTGGGAGTTTATAGTCCAGGACCATTTAGGAAATTACAGATTTTCAAGCTTGCTTAAAGATAGTCCACAAAAACGTCATTCCCTTTGTTTTCTCTTTACGTCTCTTTAATACCTTTCTTCTCCCCGAAATGTAATTAACCTCGGCTTTATGTGTTAGTGACATCAGGTAATTCAGTGTAAATGGTTTTCAAAATTCAAATTAAATGGTTTTGTGTGTTCAAACAGTACAAAAAGCTTTTAAGAAAAATTTGGACAAATGAAGTAAATACTGAACATTGCTTTTCTTTTTTCTCTTAGTTTGAGATTGAAGAGGAGGAAGAAATGTTGTCATCGGTCATACCAGATTCCAGGAGAGAAAACGAACTTCCTGATTTCCCCCACATTGACGAGTTCTTTACCCTTAACTCAACACCGTCTAGATCTGCATTTGATGAGCCCCATTTGCTTGTAAACATAGAGAAACAGAAACTAGAGTTGGAAAAACGCCGACTGGATATTGAGGCTGAAAGATTGCAGGTGGAAAAGGAACGCCTGCAGATTGAGAAAGAGAGGCTGCGGCATTTAGACATGGAGCACGAGCGGCTGCAGCTGGAGAAGGAGCGGCTCCAGATTGAAAGAGAGAAGCTGAGGTTACAGATAGTCAGTTCCGAGAAACCGTCTTTGGAAAATGAACTTGGTCAAGGAGAAAAGTCCCTACTTCCACCTCAGGACATAGAAACAGAGAAGCTAAAGCTTGAGCGAGAACGCTTGCAACTGGAAAAAGATAGGCTGCAGTTTTTGAAGTTTGAATCAGAGAAGCTGCAGATTGAAAAGGAACGCTTACAAGTAGAGAAAGAAAGACTTCGAATTCAGAAGGAAGGACACTTGCAGTGATTTTTCTAGGTCTCCATTTAGTGAACGTTTGTAAACTGTAGGTTTTTCTCATATCAGGTGATATAAACATGGTTGCTGGATTAGCTATTTTTTTTCATGTCTCATGTCAGTGTTTTAAATAGGAAAAAGATAGTTCTATGTGGAAAACTGTATGCTTAAGTAGTATATTATATAAAAACTGTGTTATGGCCTAGCATAAACAGCATAATAGAAACTTACTATGCTGGACTCTTTACATTAGCAATAGTACATAGAGTCTGTATAATCTGTGCACCCAGAGTTTACAATTAGGTCTTAGTAAAATTCTAGCCCTGAGGTTCTCAACCAGGGGTAATTTTGGCCCCCAGAAGACATTTGGAAATGTCTGCAGACATTTTTGCCCGTCAAACTGGGGTGGGGGGAAGATAGGTTGCTACTGGCATCTGGTATGTAGAGGCTGAAGATGCTGCTAAACATCCTGCAATGTACAGGACAGTCCCCAACAGCAAAGAATTATCCAGCCCCAAAAGACATTAGTGCAGAGGTTGAGAAACCCTGTATTGGCCTAACTGTGTACCTCTATAGCTATGTCTTACAGTTTTAGACTATTAAAAGCTCAGATATTTATGTGGGTAAGTACTTATATTGCCAAAAACTATAACTGAAATGTTATCATGTAGTATATTGAATATTAGAAGTGATGAAGATTATAGGTATTTTATTTCCATGTTTCCATCTATAAGTAGCCTGAGATTCAGAAAACAATACAGGGAACATCAAAGATTATCTAAAATGGGTCACTTTGAAAAGCAGTTCTTTCTAGCTATTGATGTTTAGAAGCAAGACACAGTTGTTATGCTTTTAGTTCCTTTTCTCTGAATTCATTGTCCGTTGTATACAAAAATTGTCATTTCAACCATTTACTGAACTCTTATGTAAGTAAATGGTTGAAGCTAGTGAAAATGATACCAGTATAAAAATGGTACCAGTAGTTCATGAACTTGATCCCAGTGAATGGTTGTTTGACTCAAAATAAGTCATAGCAGCTATTTGGGAATGAGGTGTGGGGGAGAATGTCCTCTGTATCAAATAATAATTATGATGTCGAATAATGATAGTAGCCCTGTGTTATGGATTGAGGCAAGCACTTATCACACACTATCTGACTTAATCTGTAGAACATTTCTTGAGAATAGTATCTATTATTTTTGAATCTGAAGCTCAGAGAAGTCACACAGTGAATAAATGGTTGATCTTTTATATTGTAGCATATTTGTCTCTGCCCCTCCCTGAGGAACAAAGTTTGTATCTTCAGTCCCTTTGTTATTTATTCTGAGACCAGGGGCTTGCTTAACCTGGTGATTTTCCTTCAGTTCCCTGAAGGTGCTTTTTCCACAATCCAGTTGATTGTTATGCACAGTAAAGTGGGAAATCACTGCACGAGATTCCTCTGTGTTTTCTGATTTCCAGGGCTGATATGTAGCTTTAATACATTTATTGATAGAAACTACCTTGATTCTGTGTTTGTTCCTTGTTAATTTAAGAATGGCTTGAAACTGTATGTTAACATTTGAGTATGGGTATGCAAGGAAAAAATATCCTTCTGCTTACTTACCATGACTTTGAAATAGTGTTATTTTTCTATAACTGAAATAAATGCTTCTACTGTAGAAATAAATTTCCCTATACTAACTACCTGAAAGTTTGTCATTTCAAGTGATGCTCAGTGCTGTTTAAGAGTAGAAGTTTTCAAGCCGGGGAAAGAGACCTATCACAGTGAGTGGTGACAGGGGCTTCACATTTATGTTAAGTGTTGAGCTGTGTACATTACATGTACTATCTGATTTGCTCCTCAAAGCAATCCTTGAACTAAGTCATGTTATCCCCATCTTTACAAGAACGGAAATAGTGCCTCATTGATTTAATTGACTTAAGTACCTGAAAAATTGTATACCAATACTGACCCAAGATTTTAGCATAAGAGCTCTAAGGGGAAGGTGTAGTGAAATTTTGTAAGTATGGTTCTAGGTATCATGGCTTTTTGCCATTTGCCACTTGTGAAGGTCATATCACAAGTCAAAATGCCTTTTGACTTGATTTCCTCATTTGTAAAATGGGCATAGTGATACCTGCTATGCTTGTGTTCCATAGTTTGGTTTTTTTGTTTTGATTTTTTTTTTTTTTTTTTTAAAGAAAATGGTGTATATAAGCTATGCAGTGCTCCTTAAATGCAAGTTGATATTCATGCTGGGTTTGAGATCAGTGGATTTTAATTTCCTAGGGAAAGCATGAAGATAGCCAATAATTAATTATGGGTAGAGCACTCTTAAGTTCTTGGAAGAAACGGAAAAAAAAAAAAAAAAACATAATATCTTCTAGGACTTTGGTTGAAGAGCCTTGTGTTTATCAACCTTGCCCAGGTACAGGTGGGTTGGGTTGGTTCACTCCAGTAGAAAACGATGTTGCTGCTTTTCTGAGGTGATAGACACACTCAGAGTGAGTTATATCTGTTAGCTATTGCTGTGTAACGAACCACTCCAAAATTTGATGATGGGAAGCAGCAACCATTTATTTTGCTCATGATTTTGGAGAAAATTAGGCTAAGCTTAGTTGAATAGTTTTGATCTTGGTTGGGTTCTCATGGTCAGCGATAGGTTGGTTGGCTAGTTGGCTCAGCTTCTGGGGTTAGCTAGAAATTGTTGGAGGGACAGGGAGAGGTAGGTGGTGAGGCCGAGCCCTTCTCATGGATCCTCTAGCCAGGCTAGCCTGGGCTTGTTCTAATGGGGGTGGCAGGAGTCTAGGAGAGAAAGCAGAGGTGCTCCAGGTATCTTGAGCACTAGCTAGTCTCAGAACTGGACAAAGCTCATCACAGGGCCAGATCAGAGTCAAGGGATAGGGAAGAGTCCACCTGTTGATAAGAGGAACTGTGAAGTTGTTTTGTAAAAGATAGGGATACAGGGAGGGGTGAGGAATTGTGGCCATTTTTTGCAATTGACCTACCACACCTCCGTTCTGCTTTGCCTGGCTTACTCCTGATTATACCAGTGGTCCTGGTATCCTGTCTGGTTTAGCATTTGTCTAGACGAAAATGCCATGATAAGGACTTTGAATTAGATGATCACCCTCATCGTAAGGAGTACCTTCCCATCACTTTTGTAAAGATGCTGATTTAGAAGAAGGAAGGGGACATAAATTTGTGGAAAAAGAAATAAAGTGTTCTCTCAGGCAATTTCTTCGAAATTAAACACATGAGTCTTTATAATTGAAGAGAATTCCTGCTTTTATTTTCTACCTAATTTGTCGATCTATTTTACATTACTTTGCTTCTCCATTTTTCTACCTTTTCATGCTTTGTCACCTCTATCCTGTATGTAAAAGATCACAGTGCCTCTAGAATATTTTAGTTTGAGTTAATAGCTACCTTTTTCTACCACTCTGTCCTTCACATTTTTTGTTTTGAACTCAAAATGATTTTTACTGTGTTGATCTATATTTGCTTTAACACAAAATGATTTTTACTGTGTTGATCTATATTTGCTTTAACATTTTGCATCCTCAAATGTAAATTTAATTTTTAAAATATTTCTAACTTGCCATGCTTTCTAGTCACTATCCTCAGACCAAAAGTGGTAACTTCTAAAGCTTCCAGAATACTAACAGCCTGTTTCCTTTTTCCATATCTAACTTCTTGTTGACATGTGCTGATCCTTTATATACATACCAGGCAGTGGCTTAATTAAAATCCAGATGAGGATTGTCTGCCAAATGTGTTACTTTGAAAATATCCCCCAATGCATATTGAGAGGAATTTAGCCTATGTATAGCTGGAAGACAGCTGAAGAAGAATATCTCTTCTTGGAAAAAAAAAAGAAAAGTTAAATCTCAGAAGATGAATTTACCACTGTAGATAGAGGCATTAAGATCATGCTGTTTGAATTAAGATTAGTAAGAAATAAGAAATGACAATGGATAAAAATTTTGAATTTTGATAAATATATTCTGAGAAGTTAAGAACTTTCTCAATGATTTTCATCAGGGAATACCCTTTATTTAGCATTTATTTTTCTGATGTGACCCATTTATCTTAAAAAAAATTAATTGAAATATGAAATCCATCTACTGTAATGTCAGTTTCTTTTAAATCTAAATCTCCAGTTCCAACGTTTGAACTGAAATATAAACGTGTATATACAATTGTTATAAGTATCTCACCCTGTATATTTTGCTTTTTCCTCAAATACATGATGCATGCCAGAATCAAGTTTAGCTCCCTTCTCTCATAAGTACCTGTAAATCATCTTCCCTCTGCAGGGGCACCATTTGTATCAGGTTATCTGGAAGTTTTATAGACGCTTTCAAATCCTTTGCCTTCTTTATTCTACCCAAATTGTTGATTCAGTCCTGTCTTGTTTTCTGTTGATGACTCAAATCAGCCTCCTCCAAACTCACATGGGGGCATCTGCAACCTGTACTCCAGCAGCCTCCTGTCTCTTAGTTCCTTCCTATCCAGTCATCCCTGTATGACACTTCTAGAATAGATTAACTGAAGTATATGTGTCCTTATGTCCTGAGAATTGACAGGACATGAAGGGGAAGAGGAACAAAGTCAGAAAAGAACACTGGTCCTGTCCCGGCTTCATTTCCCCAGCTGGGTGATGTAGGGCAGTCGGTCTCTCTGGATCTCACGGACGTGTCTATATTACATGTATTATATGTGCCCTGCCTGACTCACCATGTTTGGAATAATAAAATTAACATATGAGAATGCAATTAAATTAATAGAGAAAGCAGCTTACAGTTATTGCAAATTTGTCTTCCATTCCCTTTTGTATTAAGTATGAAGTCCACAAATGTCCTTTGCCTACCCTGTTTAGGGCTTTTGCATACCGACATCACTAAGTATACTTGTCAAGCTGCTCTCCAAATCCTCTATGCGTTTTTCTTACCTTTGCCTTTCATCGTGTTGCTTTCACCCGCCACCTTTCCACTTTCTCTTCCAGAGTGACAATCAACAGAATAAAACTTTTTTAAATCAAGGGGCTTTATCATTTCTACCACTGTTTCCCATCATTTAAACATATCAAAATGATTTTCGCTGAATAAA